TCAAATCTATGTGTTTGATATGAAATACAAATGATTACAGAGAATCTGTAATCCTGGCTTTATTCTTCCTACCTTGATCAACCAGACAACAATATGGTAAAAAGGGAGGTAAAATATATCTTCTCAATTTATATTGTTTGCAGGTTAATATTCAGTATATATGGCTACCATGGAAATAAGTTAAAATAGTCATAGTCATAAGAGATGGTAAAAAACTTTAAATAATGCATGTCCCTAAACTATGGATGCAGAATTTTAAAGGTTTCTATTTATAGTCTTTAAGGGAATGTAGGATTACACAGGAGTATATTTTATGTGAGTACAAATTCAGAAAGTAAATTTGTAAAAAATTAATGAAGGGAAAGTAACCCTAAATGTGATGTTATCTTTTCTCTCAAGGCAAAACAAAATTATCCAATTATTACTATTATTCTCCTAGTTTTTCTATTAATAAATAGAAAGAATGATCCAGCATTAGTAACTTCCACTGAACAGGCAGTCCACCTGCAAGGAGCAGCACCCAAGCTCTCACGATGTTAAGACAGAACAAGGTGATTCACATCAGCAAAACAGATTGTATTGTCTTCCTGCAGGAGCTCTTTACCCTGAGGAATAAAGGATGGGTGAGAAATCTAAGTTTTGATTTTTAAATATAGGTTCTAATTTATCAGTAAAGAAGTTGTAAAGCATGGGGTAACCTTGAGCATACTCCTTTCAAGCCTCTTTAAATGGGAAAAAGCAAACTGCTCATGGCTTCTTGCTGATTTTCTGCTTATGTAAAGGTCAAGTGTATCAGAATGAAAATCCTGATATCTTCTGGGCAAGCTCACCTTCTCAAGGACCGGATTGTCAAGCATGTGTCAGGGGATAATAGTTATACATCTGTTTCACCTGCCTTCCTAACTCTACCTTACCTGCTGTTCTCTATTGTCCCAGCCAATGAATGTCCTGGTGAATGGGCCAGTATCTAACACATGCAGGATTTGCTTAACCAACATAAATAGTGCCCCTATTTTGCCCCTACAGGAAGTTGTTATAACTTGCACAAGCTATTTGTCAGGTTTTTTTTTTTTTTTTGGTTATAATTTACTGTCTATAACTATTTTGTAAGCTATTAATGAGTTTTGACTATTCAGCCCCCTTTCCTAACCAATAACAAGGAAGGGTAGTGAATACAAAAAATATTAAAGTCTTTGTGGGTATGTGTACTTGGAGGGTAGAATTTTAAATATCTACTATGTCAACAAGAAAATAAAAAATGCTATGCTTGTGAGAAAGTTAGAAAAGACTACATCCTATGAAATATACTTTTTTTTTGCCAAACTCTTTTGTTAGTTGAAAATTTATTCCATTATGCTGGATTTCAATTCTAATGACTTCCCTGGATATTTCTTTACTGCTTATAGCAATTTGACAAATATTAAAATTATGTCATCCTAAGACTGCCAGGATGAGATGAGAAGACATTATTTCTTTGTTCTTATTTGGTCTTATGATGGATAACTATTTTTTATTACTTCAAATCATTTCATAGAACTTCAATTTTATTTTGAAGGAAAAGAAATGGATGTTGACGGTGCTTTAGAAATTAGGATTAAGCTGCCAGTAACCTTGATGTCAAGCAGTGGAGCAAGCAATAAATGATGAAATGTGAGAAGACAGCCTTATCTTGGACAAAGTAAATCCGAGTACTTTCCAGCAGAATCTATTAGAATCACATTTTGTTTATTCATTTGCTTGTTGCATAAAAATAAGAACTGGTCTCTTTTTCTCTAAGTCTAATTTAGAAATTGCTAATTTTGGTCTGTTGCTATGTCCTTAATTAATGAGCAGAAAAAGCTACCCTGAGATATTACTACTATTAGAAACTTTGCTGATATTTCCATTATTTTTACTCAAAAGGGATTCTAGATGTAACTTTTATATCTGATAGGTATTTGTTATGGACACTCAGAAATTTTTAATTGAAATATCTGCATTAAAAATTTCCTACTAATAGAAATTCCATTTATGTTTATTCATCTAGAAATGATATTTCCAGATTATTCTAGTGAAGATTGTTTTAATTTTATCAGCGAGAATTGCTTTGGTGCTCCACCCTGTTTTTCAGGATTTCACGTGCCTTCCTTTCATAGATGGCTTGCTTCAGACCTATACAGCAATTGCTGATGTCAAACATTTGCAGAAATTTTAACTCAAATCGTGTTCATTAAATCCAAATCCCCATATTCTTATCACATGCTTAAAATTATTCATCTTAAATATTTATTTAATATCTACATTTTAACCAAAGTTTCAGAATTTAATACCAATATCACTTCAGGATGGCTTTATTTTTGTAATACTCTTAATGATTTCAGTTGGTTAATAGTCATATTTATTGTTTTTTATTCATATATATATTTTTCTTTCTAGTCTTGTTTTAGTAACCTTTTAAGAAAAATTAAGAGAATGTTACAACCACCTTGGGAATCATTAACTCCTTTCTCCAATTAGAACTCACTGCCAACTAGGTTCACTCTACAAATGAAAGACAGGACTAAGCTTATTCTCTCTCAGAAAGGAAGGTTCTTTTCCTTAGTTCACCTGACTGGGGAGTAAAGGGGTGTTTCTGGAATTACTAAGGAAACCTTAAGAAATAGTAATCTGAACTAATCTTGGACATAATCTGACCAAAAAATTAGGTGAAAAACATTTATTAGCATGTCATCTATGTGAAGAACAAGAGATTCTTACGGTGATGGAGTACCCTGCAGTTTGGCTGCATCAATATCAATATCCTGGGTGTCATATTGTACTATGGGTTTACGTTACTATTGCAGGAAACTAGATGAAGGGCACACAGGATCTCTCTGCATTGCTTCTCTGCACCATTACTATATGTGAACCGAAAATTACCTCAAAATAAATTTTAAAAAATATGCATCTGAGGTGCTTATTTAATTCCTCGCTGCCCTTTTCTGTAAGTAGGCAAACATGGAGAAAATCTACCTAAGAATTGTCCAAAACGCGGTTTTATTCAGAATAAAGCTCTGTCCTCGATTTTCTCTTGCATTTGTCTCTAAGGTTTCTCTTTCATTTTGCTTTAAGAAGCCTGACTTCCAGTCACAATTTTACCAATAAACAAATGATCTAAGACATATTATTTTACTTCTTTTGTTGTCAGTTTTCTCATACAAAACGAAGGATTGATCTAGATAAATTTTGAGGTTTTTCTAATGCTAAAATTCCATGATTCCAAGTATACTGCACTGGTGCAAAGTATTTACTAAGCAAATTATATTAACTCTGACAAGTTATCAGAAGACAGCCTTATGTAGGATACCTATCAACAAGGTCAACACGGTGGGTTTCTTAGGTTTTCATCGGTGGACAGCTTTGGAATAGAAAGAGCATCTCAGGATTCCTAGAAAAATACAGTCTTCCAGCAGGCAACTAAAATTTGCTTTTTCCATATTCCCATTATTATGCAAAATCCAGGTGACCTTTAACTGAACATTAATACTTTTTAAATGTTAGTATTAACATTACATCTCAATATAAAAAACTTAAACCAAACTCTCCCTGAGTAGGAGCCATTGGTGACTAAGTGTCTTTACCAAGAATACTCCTCACAAAAGAAGACTGTTTGCTCCAGTCATTCTTAACCTCCATACAGTGCAAAAGCAAATGCAAACTCGTTTGTGAAGATGTATTTATTCAGTTACTTGAATGTTTTGCTCTCAGATTCTGTTGAAGATTAAAACAACCAAAGGTCACATGAAAAACATCACTGGATATTCTTTAAAAACCTTTTTAAAGAGATTGTCTTGATATTGTTCAGGGTCTGCTGCAAAGGGATTCACACAGGTTTAGCATGGATAGAAATATATCTTTTGAGAATTTAAACCATGAAAAAGTTCTTTTCTCCTAAACAATGTACACATTTATTTATGTCACATAATTAGAATTTATATTCTATGTTTTTCTCAGTCTTTGCAGTCTAAAAGCTTACACCTAAATTTAAAACTCAAACTTAGTACTCTTAGATTATTGGTATTAAACAGTTTTTAGTATACATTCAGAATTAAGATGAATAAAGATTAAGAATGAAGATTTCTGGGTCTACAGCAAGAGATTCTGATTAAGCAGGTCTGCAACAATAGCCTTTAATCTGCCTTCTTAATGACTATCCAAAATAAATATGCTGCAAGTGACCCATTGACCTTCTGTTGTGAAATACTAGCTTAGTTTTAAATTATTTCCCGTTTTTGACATTTCAAAGCTATCTATTTTTATAGCAGTAGCTTTATTATATAATTATTTTATCTTAGATAATCTAATTATTTTCTAGAATTAAGCGGGACAAAAATAACTTGTATATCTTGGCATAAATATAAACTTATATCAGAAGCAATTAATTTGAATTCAAGGAGAAAAACGATGGATATACATCCTTGTATCCTAGGTAGGAGAGAACTTCTTAGATCAAACTGCAAAAAACAAAAAACAAAACTAAACATAAAGATAAATTTTATGGTATCCAAATTAAAAATTTCTACTCAATAAAGGATACCACAGACAAAATTAATAGCTGGCAGACAGGATAATATACATGCAGTTTCTGAAAGCATCAGGTAATTACAAAATATTCTGCTATCTGCACACACACACACACACACACACACACACACTAAAATCTACCCAGAACTTATGCCAAAGAATAGAAAAAAAATAGTGACCCCAGTGAAACATGGGCAAAGAACATGAGTAAGCGATTCAAAGAAAAAGTATCAAAATGCTAATAAGCACTTAGTGCTTCCATTCATTGGTCATGAAATGAAAAACAAAAAATAAGATATCACTTTACATTTAATAAGCTGGTAAACACTAAGAAGCTATCAAGGACTGTCAGGGATACAGTGTCTTAAGGATGCAGCTACTTTGAAAACAATCTGGCTGTCAAGGACCTTGCCAGCCCTTTTCTTGTCCATAATATTTTCTAGGTAGGAATCACACACCTGTGATGCTCACCAAACCATCAGAACTCCATATTAAGTTTTTGCCTTCTCCTTAAATCGCCTCTCTCTTGACTTGAGGAATGGCAGAAGTGCCTCATCCCCCATGGGAGAATGTCAGAGTCTCAGTACACCAATAGCCCTCTCCCAAAACCAGCCCTTCAAAATTGAGCCCATGATCCTTTTGTACCCTCCATGCCAGTGGAAGGGTTATGAATCATGCAGCCATCCTCCAGTCTCCCATGCTGTCCCTGGAAAGTCTCTGGAGTTTTCTACATCATGGAATTTGGAATGTGGCATCTGTTGACTCAGTGCTTCAGCTGAATTTTCCATTTTATTGAACTATTGCAAGTGCTTATGTGGGCCCAATGAACAAAAAGATAAAACCAAGGGAAAAGATTTGCACTAATTTTTATCTCAAAAGAAGAAAAACAGACTCACACTACCAGAAGTAGGTTAACTTTTATACTATACTCGACACCTGAATTTCTTTTCCAGTCTTTTCTATTTCTAGAAATAAAATATTCTAGATAGTCTAGAATTCAGTTACCCAAAGCCTCTACAAAAGGACCATTGAACTTCAAGAGAGAGATGAAGCATGTAATATATTTTTATTCATTATGGTTATGCTTCTGAAAGTTTGGTTTTAAAATATATTTAAAATGTTGTTAGCTGACTTTTAAATGAAACTAAAAAATAATAAGCTGAACAGGGTCTTTTCTCTAAGTTTATAAACAACACCCTACAAAAAAATTAGCCTGACTTAATGATTAGGGCTATGGACTGGAGCTCAACAAATGCTTTTTATTCGCTGTGCCATCATTTCCCATTAAAAATGATAATAAATTATTTAAATTCACTGTGATAAATAGAATATACAGTAATTCTGTTTTCTTGCCTCAGAGGCATAGCGTGAGGTTAATTAAATAACAGCTGCAAAATACTTTTGGCTCTTTAGAGAAAGACATTATATAAGGCATTATATTATATATGCAGCATTTTTTTCTCCTATGAAAATAGGGCTAATTGTTCCTGAGAAATCAGCCTATGGCAGAGAAAACAATCATGTAACAGCCTCCACAAGCACTTCATTCACAAGGGCAAAATTTTGTCACAGTTGGTAACAGACCCAGTGAATGCTATGCTTCTATTCTTTGTACAAAGACCACTGCCATCTTGTGGAAAACAGTCATTGTCCTTATCTTAGGCTTCTATTTCATTTGTGGGAAATGGTGACAAGATAATTTGGGCTTTCTGCTATCGAAGATTCGCGGCTTATGAAGTGTTAGTCACCCTGAAGCCTGTTATCTGTGGCACATGAGGACTCAGTGAGGCCATGCTGAAGGTCAGGTAGTGTTAATGGAAGGAAGAGCTCTATAAACTAGACATCTCTCCAGGGCTTTGAACTATACATATTTCTCCACTAGGGCTTGCCACAAAAACCTGCTTTTATGTTCCATTATATTCTGGAATTAGGGCCAAAATAATAATAATAATAATAAAAGGAAAAAATAATTAATGGAAATTATTAAATTCAATGTTGATTGCTCTGGGAAAATTATGTCAGTCTGTAAATGGTGTTTGTATTTATCTGTCAAAAGAAGATGAGGGATTGCTTACAGAAAATAAATGAAACAGGACCATCAAACAGTTCTGAAGTCTACCAAGTTTGATAAATAATTGTCATATTTAGACAAACAGGATAAATTTTTAAATCTGTCCTGTAAAAATGGGTTTTTGGAGAAAGACAATTAATTCCTTTCTAACCTTTTTTTTGTTTGTCGAAAGACTTAAAATTGATACCAAACTATACCCAGAGACAGTATAGCAAATGTCTTTTATTTATCCCAGAAACAAAAACTTTGCTGTAAGAAGTATTATTACATAGAAAAACACATAGTCTTTCTGGTCAGAAACATTGCCTGTTATTTTTAAAGCAAGCATTCCTTAAGAAACAGCTTTTTAAATTTGCACTTTTAATTATTGTGGTTGAGTTAGTCTTAGGCAAAAAAAAAAATGAATAGATGAAACTTGTCTTTGATACCCTAATCTCATCACTGCCATAATTTTACTCCCCCACACTTCAAATATCTTTGGTCAGGAGTCTTCTCATCTCTGTGTTAAGGCAATAGCTTCTTCATTCATCAGATAATTTAAATTTATATTAATTTACACTAAAATGTTGCAGATTAGGTCACTTTAAAACTAGGGACATTTTTGAAAAATTATCAGTCAGTCACCACTTAATCCAAAAGGTAGAACAATTTATTAAAAAAAAGATTCTAGGAAATTTGGCAGGGGAGAGAGTTTGGTATGTGATTTTCTCTCTAGAACCCAAGATTTCATTATGTGGATAGCCATCTATTCAGCTTATTGATTTTTAAAAGTTAAAAAAAAAAGTACCTGAGCAAGAGTAATATCCTAATTCCTTCAAGCAAAATGATGTCCTCTTACCACAACTTCAAATCTTATCTCAGCACAGTATTGCATCCAAAAGACATAAATTACAGAGGTATCTTGAAGAGGCAATGGAAAGAGGAATCGGGAATACTACCACACATAATACAGAGAAGTTTTTTCTATAATCTTTTTTGGATAGACTTTTCTCTTATGTCCCTTGAATTAGGGCAATCTATTCCCTTAATTTTTCATCTTTGTGTTTCCAAAAGCACATCTAGCCTTTTTTTTGCATTTTTGACCTCCATTTTCTTATGTAAGCAGAAGTCTTTACACTGTAATTCTACTTAGTGTTCAGGTCAGCATATTAGCAGCCCAGAAACCTGGCAGTGATAGCAAAGAACTCTCTTTTAGGGAGTAGGGAGAGGGTCAAAAACCACGAACATGTATCTTTAATATTTTTGCTCCTATAGCATTGAAGAAATATCACATTATCAAAAAAAAGGAAGAGTTCCTGTTTGAGGACCATTTTATCCAAAGTCAGGGCTGATCCCTATTTAGCCCTCTGAAGAGTAACAAGTATGCCGTAAGTGGTGTACCAGAAGACAATTTCAGGTCTAGGTACATAGTGGCTCAATGAACATCTTCGTTCTTCTGCCTGGAACACTATTTTCCCATGTTTGTTGGCCTAGCAAACTCCAAACCATGCTTGAAGAACCAACTATTAACTCACACACTGAAACAGCTTCTCTGGCACAGATTGTTAGTTACCTTCCTTCCAGTCCATTATTTGCTTGTTTCTCATGACAGTACAACTTTCTATTTTTAGCTAAAAAGATAGCCTCCAAAAGAAATAGTATGTTTCTATTTCTCACTTATTTTTCCCTTAGGTATGGCCATAAAACTAACTCCTTGCCAATGGCATATGGGCTTAAAGAAGGTGTTAATCTGCTGAGCTATTCTATTAAGAGAATTCTGGGTGCCTTCAACTTGCCCAGTTTCCCCTTCCTGCTGGCTAGAATGAGGATGATGGTGAGAACTATTGTGGATTATGTGAATTAAGCAACACACTGGTGATGGCAGAGAAAACAGATTAAAGGAAACTAGAGCCTCGATACTGCGGAAGGGCCAACATACCAGCCCTGCAATTTCATGCCGAGAACTGAGGTATGAGAAAAACGATTTCTTTTAAGCTACATTAACTTTAGGTCTCAATATTCAAACTCAAGAACCCTCCAACATGTTCCGGTAATACTCTGCGCAGGTTTCTCTTCAGACACTGGTCTCTTTGTGTTCAATAAATATTGGATTTCTTACTTATGGACTCAGGGCAGGCAGGATATCTTATTATTACTTATATTCTGGTGTTAGGTACACTGTATGTTTGAAATAAAAATATGCTGACTGGATAGATGAATGAGTGGTTGAGTGAATAAATGAATAGATAATAGGTCATGTGATCAGTTTGTATTCACTAAGATTCAGATATGTTTACCTTATGACTTAATGTAGTTTCCCAACGAAATTTAGAGGACAATATTTAAATATAATAGAAAAAAAGAACAAACTTTGGGCATTAAAAAAACATAAATTGGGGAAAGGACACCTTATTCAATAAATGGTGCCAGAAAAATGGGTAAGCCCCACGTAGGAGAATGAAGCTGGATTGGCTTAGGCCATTGGTTTCGGCAAAGAATTCATTCATTGCTTAGGCAAATGAAACAAAAATAAAAATAAATAAATGGGATCTACTAAAATGAAAAATCTTCTGTACAGCAAAAGAAATAATAGGCTGAGTATAAACAGACAACCCACAAAGTGGGAGACAGTATTCACAAACTATGCAACTGACAAAGGACTCAAACAAATCAACAAAGAAAAAAACTACTAATTCCATCAAAAAGTAGGCAAAAGACATGAATAGGCATTTCTCAGAAGAGGATATACAAACAGCCAACAAACATTTTTAAATGCTCAATACCACTAATTATTAGGGAAATGAAAATTAAAACCACAATGAGATACCAACTTACTCCTGCAAGAATGGCCTTAACTTAAAAAAACAAAAAACAATAGATGTTGGTGTAGTTATAGTAAAAAAAACAAATAATAAATTAAAAATAAATAAATAAAGGAACACTTTTATACTGCTGGGGAAACAGTATGGAGATTTCTTAAAGAACTAAAAGTAGAAACACCATTTGATCCAGCAATCTCACTACTTGGTATCTACCAGCCATAAAAAGGAATGAAATAATGTCTTTTGCAGTGACTTGGATGGAGCTGGAGGCCATCATTCTAAATATGGAACCAGCCTAAATGCCCATAGACCAATGAGTGGATAAAGAAAATGTGGTATATACACAACATGGAATACTACTCAGCCATAAGAATGAAATAATGTCTTTTCTCAGCAACATGGGTGGAGCTGAAGGATGTTATTCGAAATGAAGTAACTCAGGAATGGAAAACCAAATATCATATGTTCTCACTTCAAGTGGGAGCTAAGCTATGAGTACATAAAATTATAAGAATGACATCATGGACTTTGGGGACTTGGACAGGGAGAAGGCTGGTTGGTAAATGAGTAATAAAAGACTACAAATTTGGGTATAGTGTACACTGCTTGAGTGATGGGTGCACTAAAATGTCAGAAATCACCACTAAAGAGTGTATATCCATGTAACCAAAACCACTTTTACCTCAAAACTTATTAAAATAAAAATATATATATTTTTAGAAATGAAAAGGATAACAGTTAATTTGAGAGAAATAGATTAAAAGAATAAACTTCATAAGAAAAAAATGCTATAAAGGATTATGTACAGTGATTTTCTAAAATGATTGATG